GTACTTACAGTACAGTAACGAAGTATTTGTATTCCACTACTTCCCACCTCTGCAAATGACTAACACTGACCTGTATTGATCACAGTGGAGAGAAGCCCCTTCAACATGCTCTTACAGGGAGGGGCCAGATATTATTATGGTCTACACTCCCTGCTGACAGCTCTTTACAGACAGGAAGCCTTTCAAATTCAATTCAAATTCAAAAGCTTTTATTGTCATTGTACAGAATACAACGAGATGTATAGTTACTGCTCCAGCGAGTGCTTTAAAAACAGACATATTAAAACACAGATTAAAAGGTCTGACAGTTACGACCAGCAAGTAGTGCACACAGCTTCGGATCGTCATGTAGATGAGCAGGATTAATAAATAAATAAATAAATGAATAAAATAGAATTATGATAAAATATATATGATAAATATTACAGTGTATATAGAGACAGACCATGATCATTGCACAGTGGGGATATGGGGAGTTATGTTTGTGTGTTTAATGTCCTAATGGCCCATGGGAAGAAACTGTTTGTGTATCTGGAGGTGCGGGCTTTCCTCTGTGCTTCACTGACGCATATTCAGATGGCACCGAGGCAGACACAAGAGGAATACTAGAGGAGTGAATATGCAGCAGTCACAGCTTTTTCTGCACCTTCGTTGGCGTATTGTCTCCACAAACACAAATGCAAAATACTGATTTCTCACGAGAGAGTGTGAGGGAAGCCCAAGTATCAAATACAAACTCCACATTTACAGAAAACATTAGTAGTCCATGCGTTTAAACTAAGACTCCAATAAGTAGGTAGAAGAAAACACGACATGATAACCTTTTGTTGTCAGTTTGTGTGATTCATGTTTCTCAAATATGTTTAGGAGCCTCAAAGAAACCGACTATTTCTGCAAACTCGCCATCCGAAAGCTAAACATTTCAACAAGAATATTGGTCTGAAACATTTTGTATTGCCTTAGCTGCCGGCAAAAGCGGTCAAACAAGCAAATAGTGAGGATTTATGCACACAGGCTCATTTAATATTCATCAGGAACACGTTTTTCTCACACACCGTGTCGTTGCTACTGGTCTCAAGAGTACTCTTTACTCTTAAACACCATTGTTGGACATATGATGATAACACACACACATACACACACTCTAACATTGTTTTACAGGCTGCAGGGACCATACTAATGCATCATAAGAGCAAAAGGAGAATCCCCTAAAGCAAGCTGAAATAAAAGCCATTGCAGCTCACTCTAAATCATCTGCTGGAGTTGCTGGATTGCCAGGCTAGAAAACAAAGAAGGCACAATGAGAGAAGAGGAATTGTGTTTGGGAAACAGATCACGTCTAATGGAAAATGGATGATTCTAGTCTCATTCGTGCACACGTTTGAATGAAATGCAGTGATAGTACTTAATGGTGTGAGTTTATTTGATCAGGCACCTGTTGAATCCTGATAACATATGAGTATATAAAGAAGTGTTGGAACATGACGTATTGTTAGGGGAGGATTCAGATGGTTAGCAGACAAAGTAAAACCATATTTCAATTTCTACAAACATTTTGTAGCCATTACAAGACGTGGGGTAAGGGTTGTGATAAGAGTTAAAGGTCACCTATTATGCAAAATCCACTTTGTCATGTCTTTTCTACATCAACATGTGTCCCCTCCCTCTGTGGAAAGAGATTCTGAAAGCTTCAGGAACAAAGATTCTCTCTCTTTTTGTCCTGATCCATTTATATAAAAACCTGTCTGAAAATGAGCTGATCAGATTTTGGCCACTTTATGATGTCATAACGATTTTTTGTCTTGTGTAACCATTAGCCAATCACCAACCAAGGTAACCCCCCCCCCCCCCCCTTATCACCTGAATCTCCTCCTAGAGCACCATTGAGTTCTTTTTAACCAAATATCTCTCAGAGGGGCGTGGGGAGGGGCTCCTTATTTTCATCTAAAGTAACAGACAGAGAATCAGCACTTTGGAAACAGGGCTGAAACAGAGGGGATTATGGGTAATGCTGCAATGATCTGTTTGGTGTTTGGAGCCAATCAGATACATGTTTGTATATATCTGAGACCTATTATATATTGATGAAAAACAGTATAATAGGGGACCTTTAAATTAAATACAAACACTTTAAGTCTATGATTAGTTAGACAAACACATTGGTTCAGTGTCTTTGAGATTAATTAACAGGTTGGATTTGCATTTTAACGGCTGCAGTCAATACAAAAAAACAACGATATATTAGTCTATTTTTTCCATGTCAGTTATTTGTTTACCTATAATATGTCAGAAACGAGTACAAAAATTAACATAAGCAGTTTCCCGGAGACGGAACATCTTAACAGTTATTTACAAAGTATTTCTGAAAATGATCCAAATCCTTAAGATATTCAATTTAAAACACGCTATTTAAGGGGATGATAGGAGGTCAATCAGTATTAGTATTATAACACACTATAACCTGATATAATATATAGATTATGAATGTATGTATGTGTCATCCTCATGGACCCTTCATTTCATGGAAGTTTAATTATTGTATTCTCTCTGTATTTGTGTCATTGTGTTTTGTACCCATTCATTGGTATTTTCACATTTATCTTGTCATTTGACTATATTCTCAGATATGTTTGTTGCTTTTCCATTATCATTCATGTTTGTTGATTTGTGAATCCCTCTGAGACAAATGTGTGTTGTGATATTTGTCTATGTTAATACATTTGAATTGAATTGAATTGAATGTAATTACAGTACATGCTAATTCTATCCCATCTGTGTTGGTTAATTAAGACATATCAAAACAAATGTCACCATCAATACTAAAGCATTGTTGATTAATAAAATATCATGCAAGCTTCTGGTAGCTCATCACATCATCTGACTTTTTGTCTCATTAATTTAATTATTTAAAGATGTTACCTGCCGTACAAACTGCTAGGGAGTTACTTTGCAGAAACACGTCACATCAAAAGAGGAAAACTGTGCTGACCTTCAGATGATGAACAGATTCTGATTATTGGTTGTGAGAGAGGGAACCACCCGGAGAGAAGAGAACGGGGTGAGGTGAAGGACTGGTGTACAGGGAGAACCGGAGAATAAGATAAGGTGATTATAATTATTGTTTCTGAGAGGAGGGAGGAGGAGAAAGGTGAGAGGGGGAAATCAATGAAAGATAGATGAAGGCAGAGACAAACGAAGAGTGAGAGGGGGAGGAGGACAATATGGCTGATTGGCTCCTATAGTCATGGGAACAAACTCCATACTGTACATGAAAGGGTGTGTGTGTGTGTGTGTGTATATATAATATAGGGCATGTTTATGACATCTACTCATTACAATTAAGTTGAACTTTTATTTAACAGCATGTTCTTTTCAAGCTGGGCCTCATAGTTCGATGCAGTCTGACCATATACATGCTTCATTGTCATAAGAAGACAAGATGTCAAACATTTTTCAGTTTACTCTCAAACAATGGGATCATCCAGACAAGATAAAGGACTAGTTAAACCCTAATGTGATGCACTGTGTAGCAACACTTCCTGTAGTGTGTTAGGTTTGTTTGCATGTCAATGGTCTGCAAAAGCTCAAAGCCCTGTGTTCCCTCCAGAGGGAGTTTCTCTCCCACACACCGAAAATGTGCATATGTCTTCTATTAGACATCTTTAACACATATTCTTGCCGTGAATGCAACGGAAAGGTTGAAAAAATTGTCAACAACAAGCAGAACCAATCAGAAACACACTCACCTGTCATTGCAGGGATGTTGAACTTCTTGCAGAGTTAGAGTCAGGGTTCTTGGTGGAAAGCCAAGGAGGGATTGTTACCTTTCCTCTGTGGAAGAATGACCCTTGCAGGCTGGATATTGGCACAAAACACGAGTGAGCAGCTGGTTAATGAGCAATAGATCCTAACATACCTGAGTTTCTGCTTTTAACAACTCCACAACTGACTTTCAGGATCCTGTCATCAGCAGTTTGCTCCTCCGCTCCCATTACACCCCATGGGACAATATTTCGGGAAAAAATGAACAGGTGTCAACATCGAGATACAAAACATGTTTGGATCGCGTAACGATTGAGCCAAGAATCAATCATATCTTCTGTTTCAATTTACGAGATACATTTGCAAGTCATAAAAGTAATGGTTTTCTGTAAAAACACTGAAGGAACTTCTGGTATATTTTCACAAATGATACATCATCAACACTTGATCCACTATTTTCCACTCAAACATTTTACATTCTTTTACCTGATGTATACCAGCAACGTGTAGTGTTTAATCAGCCAGCTGGCAAAATAACTTTTCATAGAATTACGGCTCAAGTTTTCGACTATCGCCAGCTGTCGGAGGCTGTTGCTGATGATTTTTTTATCTTTTCAATTATACTTCTGTGTATACTTACTAGATGTATCACTTTGTTTTACTATGTGGGGATCTATAGACGATATTTCAAGGGACCTTTCAAGGGTCCATTTTGGATAAAAACTAAGAAACAAAGTATGAAAGGAAGCAAGAACTTCTGTTGAGACCTAGCCTCTTGTCTCATAACATAACATCTCTTTATTCATTTTTTTAAATGCTTCATACACACAGGAACTGCTGTTGAAAATCTACAATAGTATACAAGAGGCATATTGCCATTGCTTGGGGTGTTTTATAGCAGCTGTCATGTGGTCCCACCCAAAAAACTACAATGTGTCCGGTTTGTCCACAATGTGTCTTTACTGTACACACACACAACCCCAGAGAGTGCGACTTTATGAATACAATCTATAACCCATACATCTCTTCACATTATACTGTAAACTATACAGTACAACTTCCACAATAAACATATCTCTGAGAATTTCTTATTTTTTTTCAAACACAACGTTTTTCAGGTCCTTGCACAGTTGTCTTGTTCAAACCATGCAACACACACTGTATCTCTGTGGTCTAATTGAATGTGTCCAGGTCTTCGTTGCATGTGTATCCATGCATTTGTATTTTTCTCACAGACGGCGGGTAATCACAGTCACTCGCTGTTACCACGCATATAGAATCTGTGTTTTTTTATTCATAGAAATATGCATTTAAATGCCATATGCGTACCATAGTGTTTCATCATTTTAATGTCCAGTGTCCATGTGTGAGTTTTTTCTTCATAGCCTCACAAATGTTCACATTCAGTGGTTGTAGTCCTGTCACGACTTCTCGGACACACACACAATGATTTGGTGTGCAGGCTATCGTGGTGCATTCACAGCCTCTCAATGTCTCTGTATTTCTTCCTCAGAATGGAGACCTGGTCCCTGAACAACACGGGGTCCAGCCTCATCTGGGAGTGCACCAGGGGCATGAAACCCAGCCAGTGAGAGAAGGCGTTCATGCAGGTCTGCCGCTGGGCGAAGTGGTCCGGGTCGGCCCAGCGAGACGACTTGGAGCCCTGCGTTCAGAGACACAGAGAGGGAGAGGGTGATTGTTAGCCAGAGGAATTCAGCTAAACAGATGCAGATGATACTTTTTTTTTTTTTTCACAGTCAAAGTCAACTTTATTGTCAATCTTTCAGTTTGTGTGTACAGACAGAGAGATCGAAATACCGTTTCCCACAATCCCGAATACAAAAATACAAATATATATACAAATATGTATATCCTATATATACACAATCAACAGACACATTTATACATATGCACACATTACTTATGGGACAATGGTGATCATCATGTGTTTGTACCCAATCATGACATTACAAATAAACAAGACATTCAAATGTTACTTAATGACCATCAGCTGTAAGAAAGTAAAAATGTACGAGGCAGCGCAAGAAGGAAATGTAGGATAATAAGGAATGCTTTAACACGTCATAAAGACCTGGTCAGCCCATAAAAGGCCTAAAGCTGATAAGCTATTTTGCAGCAGAACATACTAGCAGACTTATTTCTCCACCCTGGTATTTTAACTTGCTGGATTGTACATCATTTCATGCCAATAAGTACTTTGCTCAATGTAGAGGTACGACTAATTTAAACTACTGTAGGTGAAGAGCTAATGGCTAACATGCTAGCCAGCAAGCAACTAGCAACAGTACAAGGCTTTAAAGCTGATTTGACATTGTGGTCAAATCGTTAAATTACGGATCCGTCACCTAATCAGATTTTGCCCAGAAAACACTTTTTCTCATATTGGGAAAGAGACATTTGAAACTCAGCGGATATATTTTGTAGTACATAAACTTACCAGTACAACACTTGGAAAGCCCTTATTTAAATCATTAGCTCCTAAACGTTTTAAGCCCCCTAATAGCCAAATCTAGAGGTCATGTAAGTGTGCCCTGAGGGTTAAAATAAATGCTTTTGTGCTTGCTCTTAGAGACCATAGATGTCGTTGATGGTCACCAGAAGATCAGAAGAGCTGAAAGTCAAACTGTTATGGCTTCATACACCACTGAGCAATTCTCCTAGGAATGAATGAGGCCTGGCCTTTAACTCTTTATCCTGGAGATACTAGCTACCAAATCATCTTTCCAATTTCTCTGTACGAGGCTGTTAGATCCCCCCTGGCCTTCTATTCAATGGACTCTACATCATTTCTGTACTGATGAGGGAACAAAAGCTGTCCCTGATGGAACAATAAGTTCACCCAATTTATTAAAGAGACATACATCAAACCATTGACTCCTGTCACAAACATATCTGCTTACCATTCCTCTTTTCTGGTCTGATTATCACCAGACAAAGGAGGTTTAATGAGTAAGAGAAGCGAAAGAGTTAATAAACCACAATAGCTTACGTCATTTTGCAGCAGCACATAATAGCGGATTTCCCATTTTTCCCATCCTGTGCTATTGCGTTTGCTGGATTGTACTTCACTTACATTTTTTAACAAAAAACTCAAGGTAAAACAGGGTAAGTCATATTATAAAATGAAGTTATTTCAGGAGTGAATTATTTATTTAAAACAGCCATTTTGACGTGCGTTTGATTGGCTTATTAACCAGCGTTGAGAGAACTGATGACAGGCCTCTTGCAAAGACAGAGATTTGTGATGTTTCAGGGTCGTAGAGGAGTGCCTCCATGCTGGTGAAGCAGCTCCTTATCCTGGACAGCTTGTCTGAGCGTGGCAGGAGGTGTAGCTCATAGTAACACGTACTGTAGCTCCTGCTATTTGTTTTCACCACCTGCTTCTCCGGAGAGTCCAGGTTCATCACGCTGACAGGGCCGGTGGACCTGAGCAGCTGTTTCACTCTGCGGGAGTAGTTGTGGACACTTCAGCAAACAGCAGAACAGAAAGTCAAACTGGAAAACCAACGCTGAAGTTTCACAAAGTGTTGCTGCTTGCTTTGGCACTTTCTGGCTCCAGCTAGCAGGATGTGTAACTCACTCTGTCAGTACGGCCTGGGAGTTTTGCAGAGTGAAAAATGTTGCGGCTGATCGCAAATTGCACAACAGTCTCTTGTCATTGTTTGCTGCTTATTGGACAGCATGTCACCTTCCTTTATCCAGAAACAGAAGGACAGAGAGTCCTTGGTGAGAGGAGGGATGAACATCTCGAGACAAGCTTTCAACTGCTTTCAAATCTCTCTAAAAAACGAGAAGCATTGAATCTGTTGTTTCTTCAAGTTCACTATTTGTTTTACCTCATGTATCGCTTCAAAGTCAAAGTCAAAGTCAGCTTTATTGTCAATAATTCTACATGTTGTACATCCAGAAATATCGAAATATCGTTTCCCGCAGTCCTACAGTGTGACATATATACATAAAACAAAAAAACAAAAAGGGCCTAGATAAACATGGTATACATTAAACAAAACAAAGGGCCTAGATAACCGGGGTATACAGTTTAAAATGTCAATAATATAATTTAAGTGTTCAAAGTACAGTACTTGTCATGATACTATTAATTTGAATTGATTGAAGTGCAGTGCTTCGTGTTGGGATCCTGATCACCCTGTTGGTGTTGTTTTTTTAATTAAAAAAAAAGTATTCCAAAGTTTCTTGCTCTTCACAAATATAACAATTCATATTCAAAAAGTATTCCATGGTGTTTTCTAAAAGAGAAAATGTATGTTTGTTAGTTTTCACACAGCTGACGTTAAATCGACTGGACTTCTTTTTATGACTGCACATAGTCCCTTAGCAACGGTCTGTTCTCCTTAGCAGCAGTCTGTTACGAGAATTAACAGCCTCTGGAATGTACGAATTGACCAATCAGAATCGAGTATTCAAGTAAACCATGTTATTATTATTTGATAATTGCTCTTTTTGTATGTCTTTGTAAAGCACTCTGTAGATTGTTTTTGAAAAGTGCAATATAAATAAAGTATTATTAATTATTGTTGGTTAGCGATTGAAAGATTGCTGATGTATAAACTCAACACTAAAAAATATTCACCCCCAGATTTAGCCATCTGTCTTGTTTGAACACTTTCTTTAGCACACACACAGAACGGAGAGCTAGCAGACTGCGAGGAAATCACTATATTTTAAATGTATGTCACTGACTGCATCTTTATTTGAACATTTGAGCTTTGTGAAACTGGAGTACAGTACATCTAATGCATCGGCCCGTTATTGTATTCCTTTATCAGCTCTAAATCTGAATCTGTCCTCCAATCTGGATCGGCCAGAAGTTCAAAAGTTCCAGTAAGTTCCAGTTTCAGGAGGTCACTGAGATATGAGAGATCATTCACTGTAGATATTGGAATGGTGCGGTTGTTTCCCGTCAGGTGTGTCAGCATTTGAAGCTTTCTGCATATCAGCTGGACGACTCCGTGATGCTATCGTCTCCCGCTGCTGATATCTGATATGGACAGCAGGGAGGGAGGGGCTGGGTCCTCAAGAGGCTGCTGGGAGATGAGTTTGAGAGGGGGCAGTGGAGGGCAGCAGACCCTTTTATAAGCAGTGGCACAGGGGCGTGGAGCAGATTCATCCCGTGTGAAGGAGGAGGTACACAGGGTCAGGTGGAATAATGAAACTACAAAAATATTGAGTAGAAGAAAAGCTACGGCAATTTGAAACATGAAAATGCCCTTGAAAACCAAATGAATAAAACATGATGGGCCAAAAAATAACCGGCATTACTACGGTTGCTTTATAAAATATGATGGTGTATGGTTCCTAACATATTCCTCTACTTTACTTGGCAGGCAGTAACATTAACATTCAGCAATATCCCGCAAAATAATATATCAAAAATAAATTGCTTGTCGGATTTCTGTTGTTGTTTTTCTTTTCCTTTTACAGGGTTAAGAAAGGGGACGAGGGGACGAGGGGTGTTTCGGTTGAATTTGTGTGTTCATGTTAAATGTCAGAAAACGTTTATTCTACTTTTTTCAAAAAGTATTGAATTGACATCCAAAAGAAAGAAAGAAAGCGGGAGTGGAAAAGAGAGACGGAGTAAATCTAGGTCTGCCGTGCTGCCTTCACAATTAAGACATTAATCACTGAGTCCAAACTGCCGAGTCATCGTCCTGCCGGTGGTCAGGCCATCAATCAGACGCTGACATAGGGCTGGCCACACCAAGCATACACACACCCTTTCAAACACACACACACACACAACATGCACACATATATATATATGGATCTGGCAGAGAGAAGGTCAGGGCTGTTTGTAGCCTGAAGCTTCTCCACTATTCATTCAACATGAGGAGGTGAATCTCTTTCATCCTCTTTAATATTAGTAAAAAGGAACGTAAAACATATTAAAACCACCATTAGGCGCTCTTTAAGGTACCTAATGGACGTTTTAAACCACTAGTGTGTGTAGCAGTGTTTGGATAAAGTATCATGTCCATTTTGTTTATCTCACTCTACTAGAGGATGAAGCAGACATGATACATGTTCCTGCTGATGTTTAATACTATTCCACTGAATATCGAATGACAAGACAAATACATTTGCGAGCAAAAGACAGAGAGGGAAAACAACAACAATAGGAAGCAAGCAGTATGTGAACGAGCTGGTTTCACATGAATTATCGCCTCCAGGTTGCATGTCAACCAGTTAGGTTGCAGTAAACAATCATGTCTGTCCAGTGTCCACAATGTCATTATTTCATCAATTTACTCCTTTTGATATTTGTGTGAAATTGTCATGGTTAGCATTGGCATTCTTGAGTTATGACCAAAAACTTGCTTTTTTAGGTCACAAAAATCATTCTTCAAACTGGACTTTTGTGTCTACTTCAATTACATTTACTCCAGGCTTACCTACAAATATTGAAGGTGGATAAGAATGGAATTAATGGATGGAGTAAAGCTGTACCTGGCTCATCATGGTTTCCTTGTACTGCTTCTTCTGAGTGACTTTGATTGGCGGTTGCTTGGTAACAGCTGAAACCAGGAAGTTCATCAGGATGTCTTCGCAGTTCGCCATGCGGTCCACCATGGTCAGCAGGCTGGTGGGGACGTAGTGTGTGAACAGGTAGTGGTAGTATCTGACACACACACACACACACACACACACACACACACACACACACACACACACACACACACACACACACACACACACACACACACACACACACACACACACACACACACACACACACGTAAAGGGAATAAGACAGATGAGGTTAACTGTCTATTTAGTTCTTTTACAAAAGCTTCCGTTCTGTTCTGTTCTGTATGGCTGTTGTGCTGCACTCTCAGCAGTGTTTGAGCACTAGATCACTGTCAACGGTTTCCTCCCTGCCAAGGTCTGCTGTCCCCCGCTCTCACACACACACACACACACACACACACACACACACACACACACACACACACACACACAGTCATTTTCCACTTTTCCTCTTCACTCTCTGACTCGTTTTTTTTCTGATTTGCATTATGTTGCAAAAATAGTCAAATTTACAAAAACCTGGGCTAGTAGCCACTTTTAGTTACATTGACATTATTAGCAACTACAGAGACTTAACTTAGCACACTGAAAGATTGGCATTTTGATTCAGTTTCTATTTAGCCATTTACATTTCCTGCCATATGTTTTGAGGAATGCCTCTGCACCATATTGGTCATGACCTCTATATTTTTCTCTCTGGCTTTGTATCCCTACTGTGTTCTTGGCACAATGACAACATGTGAACCTATCTCTAGCTTTGACATCTGGAAACGGAAAAGCAGTTTTAATGCTTATGGATTATCAGAAATCATTTCAAAGGGACACAGACACATTAGATTAACCTATGGATTAACTTCAGCAGCGTTTTTATCGTGTTAATGCCATTGAAGACCACTTTGGAGAGACTACAGAGCCAAGGTAAAAATGTTAGCATTTTTAGCTACCTAGCGTCACCTGTTTTGATGTCCGTTTTTGCTTATAACGTCGCAAATACGTATGATTCAGTGGTAATGTCGGTGTCAATAGATTCTGTGTCACCTCACGATGTGAATCGATGTGTTGGATGTGGTGAAAAGATAAATAATAAGGTTTTGTGAGTGATCTTCGGTGCAGTAAGGTGTTAGCATTTTTCGCTCGTTGCTAATTCAGAGGCTCAGTGTTAGCATTGTGGGTTTTCTTTTGAAAAAAAAAAAAAAAAAGATCAGTTAGATGAGTTTCTTCCCGTTACATGGATATAAAACATTCATAGTTTTATTAAATGAACATGCCCTCAGACACTGTTTCCTGCAAGATGTTGCAGCAGTGCCCTGGTACCGGGGTCTCTCGGGCTTAACAGGTTAATAATATAAGCACAATGTATATTGCAAGTCTGACCTTGGGACGAGGCAGGTTATTGCTGTGATATATTCTGCAATGTATTCTTTGAATTGTGACTTCACGTGAGCTTATTTCTGCATCGAAAAAGCAAATAATTTAAACATATACATGTAGTTCATTGGATTCACCCTCTGCAATTAAGTGTTTTGGTTAAATTAAAGTCAAGTCTTGAATAATGACCTCATGTTTACTGTTGTTTTTTTAATGAATGATCAAAAGCAGCTGTCTCTCAGCAGGAGAACATGTGTATTGTGTACCTGTGGTAGAAAGCGGCCCCCGTGAGGACCATGGAGTAATCATTGGTCCATTTGGAGGTGTAGCCCCAGCGGGATCTGGAACCATCCCAGTAGTGGCTTCTCGCCGGATAACCAACGATACGCTCCGGAAAGCTTTGCCATACTCTAAATGCAAAATCCACCTGTGGGAGCACAAAAAATGTACAATGGAAAATAAAGAGGGTGATATTGTACGAGAAATTAAGATATGAGGCAAAAAAGATGGAGAAAAAGAGGGAGGAGAAGATGGGGTACGAACAAAAGGAAAGGAAAAGAGAGAAGGAATGTTAGGACAGCTTATTGAAAATACACAAAACATACTTCAGCCTTGCAGAAGAGATAAACCGATATCATTCAGATTTCAGAAAAGCTGTCTTCTGTTGTTAAGCCTGCAAAGCTGTCGTCAGAACCTCTCCGCCGCTTCACAGCCTGACATAAAGCATTTCAATTGGCATTGCAGTTTTGTTGGCAGCTTCCCACCCACCTGAGAAAGTCTTCCTTTAAATCAGATGTCCCTTTAGTATCTTAAACAGATTCCCTTTAAACTGTATGAAGTCAAAACTGTTATCCTCACTCTGAACCTGAATGAGCCTGACCTTATACAGTATAACTACTAATACTTAAAGGGGACCTATCATGCAAAATGTACTTTTGTACGTCTTTTATACATGAATATGTGTCCCCGGTGTTCCAGGGAACTCACCAAGTGTCAGAAAACACAACCCTCTCTATTTTCCTCCATACCCAAATCTCTAAAAAAGGGGCTGCAACGGATCTGATACAGACTGATCCAGATTTGAACACTTCTATGACGTCACAGAAGTGGCGCTACGGCTATTGGGCCAACTCCACCAATCAGGAGTTGACAGCCACGGCCATTGCCGTTCGAAAGCGCTGGAGACGCTGTAGTACATATGCCAGGCCAGTAGATGGTGCTGTTCTCACAGAATCAGCCCTTGCAAAAACAGGCCTAAAAAAGTGCAAATTGAGCAAAATGAGGCATGGCTAAAATGCATGATCTGTTTGGTATTTTGAAAAAAAAAAAGTATAAATATGCCTTATATAGGTATGGTCCTACACTATATTATTCAAATATAGCATGATAGGTCCACTTTAAAAAAGGTTTTCAAAATCTGTTTTAAAAAAGAAAAAAAAGGGAGTCAGAAAAACAAGATACCCCAACAGACTAAATCCAAAACATAAAAACTTCAATCTATACTACATTTAGGAAACTAAGTACTACAGGAGTAAAAAACGTAGCAAAGGAATAAGGTAACATATAAGACTAAATAAACGTGGTTCATGGTACAAACATAATAAAAAGTGTTTGGCTTGGAAACCGCTGGCTCTCTTGACCCTGCATGTGACAAGACAAACTGGCACAGGAAAAGGGGAGACGAGGACTATTCATAAAAGAGTTAATGGGACACATGTGAAACCAATCCAGAGTTGGGGCTGACAATAACATGGCAGGAAGTCAAGGGCTCTAAACGAGATGGGATGGTCATTTAAAAAATAAAACAGGAAGTGTAATGAAAGAGATTAGACATAAGTGACTTTTACTAAACACATGAAGAAGGTGTTCATCGTTTCTGGAGAAGCTTATTCTTCATCCTTCCATTGGTCTCTCTACCTGAGCACCTGGTGTCCTTGAAGAAGTTTGATCTACCTGAGAAGGATCCTCTTTAGAATTCAAAAACTCCACTGAGACAAGCAGACACACCTGAGAATAAGGGGATAAGCCCCTCATGAAACACAAGGTAATACACACACAAACACACACTACCCTCGAGAGACGGGGGAGAAAATGTATTACCAGACTGGTGGAGGTAGAGAGACGGGGGACGGGACGGGGGGGACGGGACGGGGGAGCGCAGGAAGTGGATGTTCTTTGGCGATACCTTGCGGCTTCTGTCATGAATCGCGTGAGCAATTACTGTAAAACGCCAGCGCTAAGCCGAGAGACAGGCTGGAGCTGCCATTCTAAGTGTGGACCCTGAGTGTGTGTGTGTGTGTGTGTGTGTGTGTGTGTGTGTGTGTGTGTGTGTGTGTGTGTGTGTGTGTGTATGTGTGTGTGTGTGTGTGTGTGTGTGTGTGTTTGTGTGTGGTTGTGTGTGTGTGTGCGTGTGTGTGTGTGTGTGTGTGTGAGATGTGTCAGATGTCTCCAAAGTTGTGTTGAAAGGATTAATGATATCATGCAAATATAATTTAGCCTACAGAGATTAAAAGGTTCTGTATAATGTGAAATGGCATGTGTGAGTGGATGTATGTGTGTGTGGGTGTGTGTGGGTGTGTGTGTGTGTGTGTGTGTGTGTGTGTGTGTGTGTGTGTGTGTGTGTGTGTGTGTGTGTGTGTGTGCAGTCATAATCTGTCTGTCTTAATTACGGTTTGAAAGAGAGGCTTGATACAGCTGAAGAATTCAAAGGAGGACCGAAAGTTGGACGGTCTGTGTGTGTGTGTGTGTGTGTGTGCGTGTGTGTGTGTGTGTGTGTGTGTGTGTGTGTGTATGTGTGTGTGTGTGTGTGTGTGTGTGTGTGTGTGTGTGTGTGTGTGTGTGTGTGTGTGTGTGCGAGCTTGTGTGTGTGCATCATACATACTAATAGATTCTACAAGGCCAGCATTGATCCGGGGAGCAGAGGGTCAATCCAGCAATAGATCTGTGACAAATCTCTCCCGACATTTGGGTTTAAGATGTCCGATGTTATCAGATGAAAATAAGCTACATCACGTTTTAAAGCCCCCGCCTCCCACCTCAGTATGTGGTCTTTCTCCAGTGTGTTTTACTAAGTTTTGTTTTCAATCTGTTTTTGATATCTTTATTATTTTTGCTCCATGTGAAGCAATGCCACTGGGATGTTTTCACTGTCATCTTCTATCTGATTCAGGGTGATAAAAGAGAAGAAAATGTGTCCTGCAGGTTTTGAGTGCTGAGGTTTCTCAGAGCTTTCTCACTGTGGTTCAGGATAACCAGCTGGGGTTTAAGGGCCTCACCGCGGCCACAACAACATCATTGGAACCATTTATAAATGTTCCTCTCTGTGGTGTGTGTGGTCTGAAGTGTTCCCTCACATTTATACAGAAAACTGTCATAAAACTCTGCTGTTTCTCTAGATTTTCTTTCATCGCTTGTTTTTGGCTCTTTTTGTGACAGATTTGAATTCCTTTGTATCATCTAGAAGTACAGATTCAGGGTGAAACTGTTCATGCTTCTCGACGCTAAATTAATTCTTTCATTTTGCACTTGCAGGAATCAAGTCTTTACTGCCTTCTGTACACTTGGATCATGTGGAAAATGCATCCTCAATAACCTTACCACATTAAACTTGCAATAAAATACAACATATATGTTAAAACAGCAGTAATATTAAACCAAGAGCATCAGAATCACTGAGCAGAATCTAAAAACTAAAAACTTCCTACACCAATGCTGCCAAAATCCTGCAAAATCCCTTAAAGGTGGGGTAGGTAAGTTTGAGAAACCGGCTCGAGATACACTTTTTGTTATATTCCATGGAATGCTCTTAACATCCCGATAGCAATGAATATCTTAAGTGCTTTGACAAAAAATCCATAAAAAAATGTCATCTGTGGAAGCTGTAATACTGTAAAAAGTACGACCAATCATTTTAGCCGGCCCGGCTAAAATAACTGGATGGCCTACCTGCCTGTCAGCCTTCCATCTGTGCACAAACTTATCTCGTGCCCTCATTGGTCATGTGCGCGTTCGTGTGTGTTGGAGGAGGGGCTCTCTAAGGAAGTGGCAGATTTTTTCCGGTTGTGTATTTTCAAATTCTAGCGCACTCGAGCTGGTTTCTCCAAAATTACATACCCCACCTTTAAATGAAAGAGGATTACAATTGAGCCATTTCTGTCGAATAACTTTTTCCACATCCACCATATTGGAAATGTCTTCCAAAGGGCATAAAGCAGCACCATGCATGGCCGCCCAATCAGAGACAAAAGCTTCGTCAGGTTTCTTTCGCCGTATTCCTTCCACTAATCTCTCTTCATGGAATAATCATACATTTAATGAGCTGAAACAATGTAATTATGGAATTGGCACAGCCATTCTTCCATTGATGTATTGTAATATGAAAAGTCCTATTAAAAGTGTAATGTTCCCTCTTGCACATTTTCACTCACTTGACATATTTCATCTCCATTCAATAAATCCCCTCACCATGTTTAAAAGGGCAATTAGAGGAACGGGTTAGTGAGCACAGCAAAATATCCCCTCCACTTCCCCTTTATGATTCCTCTCCCTCCCTCTCTGCCTAATATCTTCTTCTTCCTCTCGTTTCATAAAACAAGCCGTGAGCCCATAAAAGTTTAGTTGTACAAACTCGCTCGTATTGCTGTGCCACACATTGTGTTGCCATAAAGTGTAATTGTGATCCCGCCAGCGTAGAAAAGGTGAGCATTGACTCGCTCCCCATCAATAAAACATCTCAGAGTTTAAATATATATTGGATCTCTTGGGCTCATTGGCCCTCACAATCCATTATGGATCGCATCTTTTACTCGCAGACAAGCCGGGAAGAAACCAGGTCGCCACTTCTAATGACTTTTCAATTCAGAGTCACACATTTAGCATCACGAATGAGCTGTTTCTGATCATTTGTATCGTGTTATGGAGGTTCATTCTGGGTTATGTGTTTCTCATCCGTGTTAACGCAAATGTGGACATCGAATAAAAGATGGGGATTATAGATAAAAAAAGTGGTTGAATTTCTAATCTATAGGTAAGGTAAGAACATAGATACTGAGTCTTATACTTGAAGATTAACTCAGTACATAGAGTAGAAAGGTTACACATATTTGGTAGATAAACAATTTGACAACAACCTAACTTAAGCACCATAGCTGCTTTGAATGAACTATTACAGATACTTTTAAAGAGGCCCTTTTATGCTTTTTGGGTTTACCCTTTCCTGTAGTGTGTTATAGGTTTTAGTGCATGTAAATGGTCTGCAAAGGCTCAAATCTCTGTGTTCCCTCTAGAAGGAGTGTCTACACTCACACTCAAGCTTCTATTGGCTCGTGCTCCATCACATTGTACGTGATAGGCTAAGGAGCGTCAAATCTCTAAGTGGTTGACCAATCACAACAGAGCCGGGCCAGCTAACCAATCAGAGCAGACTGGGCTCTGGTCTCAGACAGAGGGTGAAAAGAGGTGCTGCAGCACAGGCAGCATGAGAAAAATAAAGAGCTTTTTGAACATTAAAGCATGGAGACATGTCCCAGTAGAGACACTACATACTGATATACACCTGAACATCAGCAGGAGAGGACTCTTTAAAGTAGAGACACTACATACTGATATACACCTGAACATCAGCAGGAGAGGACTCTTTAAAGTAGAGACACTACATACTGATATACACCTGAACATCAGCAGGAGAGGACTCTTTAAAGTAGAGACACTACATACTGATATACACCTGAACATCAGCAGGAGAGGACTCTTTAAAGTAGAGACACTACATACTGATATACACCTGAACATCAGCAGGAGAGGACTCTTTAAAGTAGAGACACTACATACTGATATACACCTGAACATCAGCAGGAGAGGACTCTTTAAAGTAGAGACACTACATACTGATATACACCTGAACATCAGCAGGAGAGGACTCTTTAAAGTAGAGACACTACATACTGATATACACCTGAACATCAGCAGGAGAGGACTCTTTAAAGTAGAGACACTACATACTGATATACACCTGAACATCAGCAGGAGAGGACTCTTTAAAGTAGAGACACTACATACTGATATACACCTGAACATCAGCAGGAGAGGACTCTTTAAAGTAGAGACACTACATACTGATATACACCTGAACATCAGCAGGAGAGGACTCTTTAAAGTAGAGACACTACATACTGATATACACCTGAACATCAGCAGGAGAGGACTCTTTAAAGTAGAGACACTACATACTGATATACACCTGAACATCAGCAGGAGAAGACTCTTTAAAGTAGAGACACTACATACTGATATACACCTGAACATCAGCAGGAGAGGACTCTTTAAAGTAGAGACACTACATGCTGATATACACCTGAACATCAGCAGGAGAGGACTCTTTAAAGTAGAGACACTACATACTGATATACACCTGAACATCAGCAGGAGAGGACTCTTTAAAGTAGAGACACTACATACTGATATACACCTGAACATCAGCAGGAGAGGACTCTTTAAAGTAGAGACACTACATACTGATATACACCTGAACATCAGCAGGAGAGGACTCTTTAAAGTAGAGACACTACATACTGATATGAACCTGGAAAGTTGCATAATGTCCTCTTTAAGTGTAGCACTTATGTTGGTCTGGTCTACCAGTGTGCGTCCACCATTTATTTTCAAGTTTCACTTCTTTCCAATCCTTAAGAAGCAAACCACAAACTCTTCTAACATGTCAAAGCTTTGATTAAAAAGGGGAATAGAAACATTATTTCTTCTCTTGACAATGCTTGAGACAATTCACTGGTTTCTAATTTGTTCTAAAACACAGTGTCAGTGTAACAAACCGCTGGCGTGTGTCCCATCCTCTCTGGTAAGTAACAAGTGAGACTTTAATCAAAGAGGTGCTCTGTGTTTTGACAGTGTAATGATACAGACACAGAGGTAATAGCTCTCGTAAAACTCCTGACACGGTGAAAGCACTTTGTTTTTCATTATACCCTTTTCAATGCTGCGCTAGTCTCCTGTCCTTATTTCCTTTTTTCTTGATTTCCATTTGATGTCTATCTTTTTCTGCTTTTATATTCCCCTTTCCTTTGCTTTTATTTTCACCTTGCACTTTTTTTTCTCTGATATTTCCCTTATTCCCTACACACTTTTCTTCTTTTCTTTCCTTCCTAACTTCTTTCTCTCCTCTCCTTTTCCCTTTCCTACTGGTTAAGTTAGATCAAATCAACATTATCTTAACAGTATCGATCCTATTACAACACATCACATTTCATGTAATTAAGACTGGGTCTCGAGCATCATGTTAACAGGGTAATTCATTGCATTTTTCCCACTATGCTTTGTATTTTAAATCTGTAGTTGCACTTTGTTGCGTTGTTAAACTTCCCATTCATCCTACTTGGTTTAATTTCATCTGCTGCATGTGAAATGTTCCCTTTAAAGGCAAAGCACATTTTCTTCCTATAGTTCAGTGGCCACTGCAATGATTGGCAATTCATTTGTAATGAATGGCATTCATGATTGTGCGTTGACTGACTGCCTCATTTCAGGAAGGATCGATACGGTGTTAAGACATCACCACCTTTTGCCACAGGCTGACATAAAGCCATGCAGACTGCAGCTGGTTATAAAAACACTGCCAGAAGCGTTTAGTTGGTGGAGTTATTCAAAATGTTGAGATCCCTTGACATGCAGTCACCAAAGTAAAATAAAAAAATGGTATATTTCTGTTACTGCCGATTTGCACACTACACACTGCAAAGTTAGTTATCAGATATATTGAAGCTTTTTGGGAAAGTTTAAACTCTATGAACGGCAATGTACATGTAAGCAGTGTAGCAACTGTGTTTACATATAGTCCTAATACCAAATTATTTTCTCTTGTGATGTCAAAAGTGACGTATGTACAGTATATAGCATGAAGGCTAGGCTAATTAGCCAAACAGGGTCACACATTTTAGGATTAGATATAACACTCAGATTGTAGGGTGTTGAGGTCTCCATATTAGGTTGAATACTTAAAAATAAAGTTAATTATAATCAAATATAATCAAATATATTCTTGTATAACCCACAATGACAATGCATTATATTTGATGTTTTTCTATAATCACAGTATATTCAAAGCACAAGGGGTTGGTTAAGTTGAGTTTAGAATCCTGTTAGAGTGTATTGGTGTCACTAATAAAAGAGGGGGGACATTTGTCTTCACTCACAGCTGGCTGTGCACAGGGAGGGGCCCTGACTTGTGGAAAAATACTGAGGCCCAAAATGTGTTTTTGCCATAGCCATAGAATATGTCTGGACATGTCCAGTCCTGCACATCAGAGGCCATGCCCTGTTTCCACAAATATGGGTATGGAGGAGGTGTCTTTAGGTTTTTCTGTCCTGTTTTGAGCATAAAAACACTAGCTGAGAGGGGGGGGGTTTCCACTGGTAAACTCTCGCCCTGGTAAGGTCCTCTCAACTTTGGTAAGGTCTCTCGAATTGAATTGTTGAATGCTGAGTGAATTGTTGAATGAAAGTTTAAAACTGTTAGATCCCACTGACCATTTATGAGGAACTGCCTCTGAATGTTGTCGGACTCTAGGTTTGAATGCGTAGCACCCGCGATTCATGAGGAGTTTCCTCTGGGTTGTGTCGGAATTATTACTGACCATTTTTGGGGAACTGCCTCTAAATGTTTTCGGACTCTAGGTGAGAATGAATAGACCCGCGATTTATGAGGAGATTCCTCTGGGTTGTGTCGGAAGACTTTAATGTAAAAACTGAATTGGGCAGTTGAAGTTATAATTTAGTGTAATAAATGTAAAACTGTGAATTGAGGTTTCATATGAGTAATTGACCACAGCATGAAATATTCTGTATGATTGTCATGTTGTAAAGAGAGAAGGTGAAACCCTGTACAAGTGTGGACCAATTTTTCTTCAAATAAACTGATCCCACCCTCTGAAATGGGACAACTTAAAATAAATCTGCGCTATCCTCTCCTGCTTAAGGTAAGATTGCACAACTGCCACACTCACACTTAGGTAGGGCCACATCTCATTACTGATATCAAAAATCCTTCGGGATCGCTTAAACAGATTTAGCGGGTCGTCTGAATTGAAACAGCAGTTAATTGAACCTGGTTCTTCAGGAGTTAGTAGAGGTGAGATCTTGCTGACGTTGGTGGATCTGAGCCAAGCAGTAAACTTACATGGACTCAATAGCTTCTGTTAGGTCAATTAGTAGGTCTGAGTAATTTGCCGGAATAAATTAACAGCCCTCCCAACTCCGACAAGGGTTAATGTAATGCGCCAGACATACAACTTATAAGAAATATATCAATTATGTTGCCATCAAGACAAATGTAATCAGAAGTCAGCTGCAAACATTAAAAAGTCAGTTAGAAACAGCTAACATGGAGCTAACATTAGCTTAATTATCAAGCTACCAACATGTTATAAAATCGGCCAACAACAGGTAACATTCAGCATTTCAATTGATAGTTGCTAGCAGGAAATGCATGAATGCGTGCTTTTGTCTCCCTCTGTCTGAATTCAAAGACCTATTGTTTAAAATGTAGACTGTAAATATCCAGAAGTAGTGCTACCATTGTAAGCATTTAAGGTGCATAATATGTTCTTTGCGAGAACATAAACCTTTACAGTGCCATTTCAGTTAAGAATATAGTGTATATCCTGAATGCTTTTAGGCAGGCAGCCATGATACACTGTTTTGTTCACTTATCTGCTTGGTGAGTAATTGAGTAAACCAGATAATGGTGTTTAGTTGGCCTTGTGTCATGGGATTGTGGCCGTCACACCTCATTTTGTTGAGTAGGCATCAGTGTCTCAGCTCAGCAGTTCCTTAAGCGCCAACGTTGTGCCAATTGGTTTACATTTCACCAGCCACTCACCTCATTTGTGGAGAGAACCGAGTCTTCATCCAGACTGAGAACGGCATCAGTGAGGATGACGTCGTGGGGGAAAAAACGACTGCTCATCGTCTGGAGAAACAGAAGAAAAGCAGACAATATTATTGTAAATCAACATTATTGTCCCATCAAAAGCAACATGAGTTTTATTTTTGTACTGGTATGTGGCATCACAAAAACTGACCTGTAGGCATTTATTTTTGTGTGATTTAGCTTAAAGGGGACCTATCATGCAAAATGCACTTTTGTACGTCTTTTATACATGAATATGTGTCCCCGGTGTTCCAGGGAACTCACCAAGTGTCAGAAAACACAACCCTCTCTATTTTCCTCCATACCCAAATCTCTAAAAAAGGGGCTGCAACGGATCTGATAAAAACTGATCCAGATTTGAACACTGTCCTGACGTCAGGACGGTGGCGCTACGGCTATTGGGCCAACTCCACCAATCAGGAGGAGACAGCAACGGCCATTGCCGTTCGAAAGCGCTGGAGACGCTGTAGTACATATGTCAGGCCTGTAGATGGTGCTGTTCTCACAGAATCAGCCCTTGCAAAAACAGAGCTATAAATTGTCAAATTGAGCGAAATGAGGCATGGCTAAAATGCATGATCTGTTTGGTATTTTGCAAAAAAAAAAGTATAAATATGCCTTATATAGGTATGGTCCTACACTATATTATTCAAATATAGCATGATTGGTCCACTTTAATTTTAATGTTTTTTTAACCTGTTCCACTCTGAGCCTGTTTTTCAGGTCTCAGGCTCGAAAATGACATTCCCAGAACAAATGACCATATCTTCCCTTCTAAAAGGGTTAAATTAATAATCTTTTCTCAAAGTAATGATAAACCTGTGAGTTGGATGTAGAAGTGTCAGAATCAATATAAATGTTTTTTATTTTAAAGAAAATTCAGATTTTACATAGTAAAAAACTGTAAATTATAGTGTCCGTCCAAAAATTATTTTTTACAGATAGTGAAAACTACCCTTGGATGATGGGTTAGTAGACTAAAAGCTTTAGGAATCCAAAGTACAACATATAATAAGTACCCTGTATCAAGATTGATGCAAAACAAGTGAAATTTGACCTTTTTAGAGAGATTTAGCCAAAAACTGGGCCATCTGGGGTCATTTGGGTGGATTTGACCTATCTCTGGCCCCCCTTGCTCGATCTGGTTGGTTGACATACCCTTGTGACCGTTAGAGCCAATAGAATCGAAGGAGGATACCTACATAGACACACATTGTAAAGAAAAAATGTTGCCGCTTCGCGTGTGGAAAGCGAAACTAAACTGGAGGAATGTCTCCTTCTGGAGTTTGGAAACTAAAACGCAGTTGTATTGCTTATGGATTATCAGAAATAATTTCAAAGAAGGCACAGACACATAGGATGAACCTATGGATTAACTGCAGCATCGTTTTTTTATCGTTTTAATGCCATTGAAGACCACTTTTGACCAAGGTAAGCCATATTTATATGTTTAGCTTCTTGGCTCCACATGTGATGATGTACGCTTTCGTTGATAGCGTCGCGAATGTTTATCACTGAGTGTTGAGGTGGGCACCGTTAGATTCAGTGTCTCCAGGACACCAAAAAATAGTGTTTGGTTGTGCATCTAGGATAAGTAATAAGGGAGTTCTGAGTGAGTTTATGTGCGTTTGTCGGTCCCGTTTTTTCGATCGAGGCTAATTCAGAGGCTGAGTGCTAGCATTGTGGGTTTTTTTTTGAAAAAAAAAATTAAAAAGATCAGTTAGCTGAGTTTCTTCCCGTTACATGGATATAACACATTCATAGTTTTATTCAATATTAAGATTCCTTAGACGTTGTTTCCTGCAAATGACGCGTTTATCCGCCCGGTACCGGGGGGAAGGCGTGAAACAGGTTAAAATACTTTTTGGGTCATTTTATGCTTTTATATGAGTGATGACAAGAAACAAAAAAGAGGGGTCAGGCCTGGTCCGTTTTTAACCCAATATCCATGTTTTTCTTAGTCTAATTTGAAAGGTTATCAGTATGGAAGTATGGAAAATAAAGGCAAAGAGAAAAGACTAATGACAAAATCTGTTGTTTCACTCCCTGCTGTGTCGATCTTTGAGCTGCACTAATAGGTTTCTTGTGAGTCTTTATCAATTCTCCGCCTAACAGAAAGTGTAGTAGACCTTCATCCATCGGCCAAAAAGAGGGCTGATGATGCTGTTATTGACTTTTAATTAAGTGTGAATTATTGAGCTGTTGAGTAGAAGAGGAAGAAACAGATTTTAACAATTTGGAACTCCAGCAAATTCACAACTCATTATCACACAAACTCTGTATCACACTGGTTACTGTTTGTGATTCCTCTGATCATAATCATTTGATAAACTTTGAGTTGCTTTTAGAGATTCAGATTATAAGATATTACAAAATATAATTCAACTAATAAATAAAGATTGACATATCATTTTAGGTTAAGACTTCCAGTAGCAGAATACAAAGTAATTCAAATCAGCACCAACTTTACAATCTGTGATAGAGACATTATTATATAAATCTTAATCCCGAATTTTCATTTATTACACAGTTTAGTTGGATACTTGATTTAAATTTTCCAGTGACGTTTACAATTTAGTATTTCTCCATTTACTTAAAAATCGGAGTACTTCTTATACCTCTGATGGGCAGTGGTTTGACGGGTTTAATTTCAGTCAACTGAGTCTAAAGATATACATTTATGTTCTGTAATCAAATAATGATCCCAAATATGCAGCAGATTTGATTTCAGGGTCCCATCTCGTGTCCAGTTGATGTTGATTTATTAGTAGTTGAGAATTCTCATTCACTGCTGACCTGAAGTTAAGTTATGCACTTCAAAAATGTTAATGGCTGTCTTCTTTACAAGGTAAAAGATGAAATATTATCTCACTGTATCTCACATGTACAGTAGTTGTAACGGTCTGAATAAATCTCCCTTAAATTGGGAAGAAAACCTTTAAAATCGTAATTATCTTGGTCAATAAGGTTTAATTTAAAGTCATGACCGAAAGAACGAGATCGCGGATACAAGCGGCCGAGATGGGTTTTCTCCGCAGGGTGGCTGGTGTCTCCCTTAGGGATAAGGTGAGAAGTTCAGTCATCCAGGAGGGACTCTGAGTTGAACCGCTCCTCCTCCGTGTCGAAAGGAGCGAGTTGAGGCGGTTCGGGCACCTAGTAAGGATGCCACCTCGGCGCCTCCCTATGAGGTGTTCCAGGCACGTCCAGCTGGGAGGAGACCGAGGGGTAGACCTAGGACCAGGTGGAGGGATTATCTCTCTTAGCTGGCCTGGGAGCGCCTTGGGATCCCCCAGTCAGAGCTGGTCGATGTGGCCAGGGAAAGGAACGTTTGGGGCTCTCTGCTGGAACTGCTACCTCCGCGACCCGACCACGGATAAGCGGGAGAAGATGGATGGATGGATGGAACAAAGGTTTAATGTAATTGAAATTGACCTCGATATTAACTACTGTCACAGCAGTGACGTTTAACACAGATTCACTGTCCTAAATAAAGTAGATTGAATTTACACCACAGGGGAAATATTAAGCAGCTTATTTAGCATTTTCAAGTTAATAATGTCTACTTCCATTTCAGCCTAATCAGCCAATGGATGCCGACTCATCAAGAAATTAGGCGTAACATCAAATGAATTTGAGCGCAAAACCCTTCAATTATTTGGGAGTGCCACATAAAATAAATAAAAAAACTGCATTAAATCAGTGCTTAGAGTGAGAAGTGTTGGCAGATAATATATTTTATTTGGATGGATGCCATACAGTATAATCAGCAGGCAGGTAATTAGTTCAGTTAGGATGGTGGTCATGGTAGTGTCACAGTCCTCAGCTTTCCTGCACACACCATTGCAGTGTAATTGGCTTAACTAAATGAGATACTTGCCGGATAATAAACTGCATTCAGGCTGGACTAATGATCTAAATTAAATACATATTTGTGGAAAATAAAAATACCTAAAAATACAAAATATGGCAATAACATTATCATTGGCCTGGTTTTTTTCCAATTTGGTCGAGATTGAAATATCTCAATAATTTTTGGACGCATTAACATGAAATTTGGTACAGAAATCTTTTGTGTCCATATATGAATCCAAATTACTTTAATGATCTCCTTTCTTTTCCTCAAGTAGCAAAGGTAGGGCAAAACTATTCACTTATTATTTGAAACAACAACATTTGGTAGAGACATTCACCTTTTACTCAGGATAAAATGTAAATAACTTGGGTCATCCCTTACATTTCTGAGTGCCATCGTCAGGTCGAAACTCACATTTTTCCAACAATTATGTTTAAAATGTGCAAACCTAATGACGTTTATAGCAACTTTGGCAAATGTCTGCATGCTAAAACAATAAACTAAGAAGGTTTAAATGGAAAACATACCTTTTTTAACATCATAGCATGTACAAGTAGTGTAGAAATATGAACCTGAACATGATTTCTACCTGTGCACATACAGACAGACACTGCCCCCCCCCCTCCCTCTGGCTGGTGTCGATGGTTTTCTGCCTCCGGACCGAGATAAGATCCCAGTTCAATGGTCTGAGCCTTATCTTAGTCTTCCACCCATTTCCTCTCTTTATATTTGCCGTGACTCCTCTTACTTCAAGGGGAGTCTTTGGAGATATCCGTTCCGTCTTAATGTCCCCGATACGTCTACAAATTACTGCTAAGAGTCAAAGATCACACTCCTTGTTGTTAACCACCAACTATGTGCAATATGTGCAATATATATACCGGTATATGCCGTTAAAAACTGTGCAATATATACCTGGCTGCTAAATCCTCAGAACTGTTACAGGATGTGTTTTTTGTAAATTGTGTAACCTTTTTTATTATAATTTATTTGTATCTTTAATATTTTTTTTATGCATGCTACTTAGGTCAGCGGTTCCCAACCTGTGGGCCGCGGCCCCTTAGTGGTCCACGAAAGCATTGCAAGTGGGCCGCCAAATAATTTGCAAAACATTATGATTTGTGTGGAAACATTTCATTATTAAGATTTTGAGATTTTAACCTCTTTTCCTTTTTCTTTCTTAATCCTCTTTAGCAACGGTCATTACAGTCCTTGACAGCGGTCTGTACTACTGGATTAACAACGTGTCACATGTTCTGAATTGACCAATCAAAATTGAGTATTCAACTAAACCGTGTAATAAAAATGTCTGTTTGTTACTGATGGCCAGCTCCTTTTTTAATTACAGGCTATATGCAGGAATCCTGAAGTCAAATGTAAGACCTTTTAAGACCTTTTTTAAGACCCTTTCCATACATTTTAAGACCTCATCGCCACTTTGAGTTTTAACCGGTTACATTGGCGACACACTTTACCTCACATTTACTATATACAGTATTGATTGTCCTTCCTCCTTATCTTCCAACCATTTGGACGCAAACTTGCATTTCCCCATAACGATGTTGTTATCAAGCAGTGAGCGTGCGATGTCCTGTTCAGATGACGTCAAATCCAACGGGATGCCATAAATAAACTACACAGAATCACACTACACACCTACGCAATGATTACATTCAGGCTAACTGTAGAATACAACCTCTTTGGACAATTTATATACTTATTGAAAACAAGCTACAAAATGTAATACCTTGGGAAATGCCGTTTAATACTTTTTAATAGCCTTAATTTTCACTAAATTGATTTATCAACTTTTAATACTTTGTAAGACCCCGCGGACACCCTGAATTAAAATAAAAAGTACTCTGAGAACTTTATTTAGCCTCCGTATTGTTTATGGTTGAATGTGGGCCCTTGAACATTTTTTAGATTCTTAAGTGGGCCCTGAGTTGAAAAAGGTTTGGAACCGCTGACTTAGGTAACATTAAGCTGTCTTTGGCTCTTTTCTGCTGTAACAATGTACATTTCCCCTCTGTGGGACTAATAAAAGTATTCTGATTCTGATGCTGAGATCACATCTTTATCTAAAACAAGTGAAACAACAACATTTGAAAACTGTGGTTGTTAATACAATACTCATCCTACTATAACTGGATGAAGCCTATTGGACAGTGTTTACAGTCAATACATTGGAAACTAAATTATATTTCGAGGTCAACACAAGACTATCAATTCACCCCTGCCCTGACCCTCTGTCCAATCACGCTTTGACATATGGTCCAACTTCACCTTTGAACTCTTCATTTTAATGCTCCTTTGGTATAATTTAAATGCACACCTAAGGATTCAGGATCAATGCTTAAGATTTACTTATCAATATTACATTCTGGTTGTGAGGGCAACACATGCAATACTGCAAAGTGATGGATGAAGGTGAGATATAGTCGACATATTAACAGTGAAAGTGGGGAGTCCTTCGATCATATATTGATGTGAGGGTCTTAAATGCAAAGCAAGCAGGACCTCACTTATACATGTAGCAAGGCCACGCTGAACGACCTAATCCACATGATTCATATTTCCTGTGTGCTCAAATGGTAAGTAATTAATTTAAACTTATGCAATCCTGAACAATGAGGAGGCTTCGACCCCTTCAAAATGCCCCCAGTGCAAACTATAACTAAATGTTGGTTGTGTACAAATATTGACAGCAAACAAGAACATGAAGGATCAGAAACATATGAGATATCAGGGTTATCATGTATTTTGTTCATAATTCATCTTTCAAAGCTTGTAAATATATTTAAAGTAAGTTTAAAACTCAAGTAAGGTCAATGTTACCTGCATATGCAACCATCTCTAGAATTAAAAAGTTCCTGGCCAACACAAAACGGAAAAAATCCTGCCTCTGACCAATTAACCATTTATTTTTGTATGCCATGATGGACAAGCAACCTATTTTCTCATTGGTGTGAGGACTTGTGAGACAGTATTGAAATGGATTAAAGAGTACATTATGATATTTTATGGAAAGAGTGGAAGCAAACAGAATCACAGTATGGAGACAGTTTGGAGCTAAAAGCTTTCTGATGGAGCGTATCCACTCAGCATCACACTCAGAACAAACAGTAAATTACTCAGCTGCTGCGCTCCGTTGAGGCAGATTGGGGACTTTCTATGTGTGTGTGTGTGTGTGTGTGTGTGTGTGTGTGTGTGTGTGTGTGTGTGTGTGTGTGTAGTTATTATGGTGGAAACAAACACAGAGAGTGTTTAGTGGGAAAACACTGAAGAGCATCTGTCTGGGCTCTACGACAATATACCACATGACTAATTATAGGACCATAGATGCTGTTGGGTACCGTCACACACACACACACACACACACACACACACACACACACACACACACACACACACACACACACACACACACACACACACACACACACACACACACACACACACACACACACACACACACACACACACACACACACACACACACACACACACACACACACACACACACACAGGTTTTATTGTCGCCAGTGGAAACATTGTTCCAGTGTTTCAATGGGGAAACATTTACATGAACACAAACAGAAGCAATTAGAAGGCAAAGCGTTGGGATTAGATGGCGAGAGAAGAGGTTGGTGTGTGTGTTCAGTGAGGGATCAAATGAGAATGTGTTTATTTTTAGGAAGTAGCTCAATTGTTTAAATGCGAGTGTAAATGAGTAAAACGAGAAACGCAAGACAATGGTAAGTGTTGCTAACAGTTTTGAGTGCATATATTGAATGTGCATGTTTGTTTGTGAGGACAGAATATTATCTCAGATTACTGCAAATGAGAAGAATCCCAACAAAGTCACACTGCTCGCTTCTCTCTATTAGCTGACAATCAAAAGTCGCTTAAATGTCACCATCAAGAGTCTATTTTATAACTCAAACACGTTTTTTCCAGTTAAGTATCATTTTGAAATATTTGTACTGTATCTGACTATCTTAAAAAGGACATATTATGCTCATTTTCAGGTTCTTGTTTGTATTCTGGGACATGTCTCCGTGCTTTAATGTTCAAAAAGCTCTTTATTTTTCTCATACTGCCTGTGTTGCAGCACCTCTTTTCACCCTCTGTCTGAAACCAGAGCCCAGTCTGCTCTGATTGGTTAGCTGGCCGGCTCTGTTGTGATTGGTTACCCGCTTAGAGATGTCCCGCCCCTTCGTCTATCATGTACAACGCTAGCCATTAGTGTTGCATCGTGTCATGTCACTATGTTACGGAAGCAGAATAGGGCTCTGTTAAATCTATGCCAATTTCACTACATATTATTTAAAATGTTGTATTTAATGTGTTGTTTTTTTACATTTCAGAGCAACAAAAAAAGAGCAAAACATGTATAAACACCATATATATATATACATTTATCTTTTATTTATGTTGACCTTTGGTTTGCCTTTCCGTTACATCTCTTAGCTGAAATCTACCTAGGTATGCAACACACTCAAAACAGCTGATGTTTACATGCAAAAGCATATTTTAGTGACAGTACACACATACTGCTTAAGATCTAGCAGGTATTTTCCTCACTAAACTGCTTTGTATTATTTAGAAAGCACTAGAAGCCCAGGTGTTTAATTGCCTAAAAACTCTGGCCTTGGCGCCTTTTGAGAAAAACCTGTTGTATAAAAGGTGAGATAAATATCTTCACTTCTATGCAACAAAAGTATCTTTTCATACATAATAGATGCAAAAAGCCGGCAGCTGTTACCTTGGTCTGCCCTTCGATGACAGTGAGAGGCACGCTGGTGGAGGGCCACTTGTTCCGGGGAGGTAAAGGCTTCTCGCAGTTCCATAAAACCACAATCTGTACGGAGAAAGAGCACAGAGTCAGTACCAAGTGTATTATCATGAATATCAGTATGCATGAGTTTCTGCATATGCTTTTTTCTAATGCTTATTTTCATCTTAAAGAAGCATCAAACATCAGGATGCTAAATAAAACGAGTGAATAATTTATCTGTATGTTTTAATCGCTTTTAAACAGGATGGTAACTGGTATATGGATAGTGTTTTTAAGTATAATCTTAAAGCACATAATTCAATAAATCACATATTTGTATAAGCTGTCCCACTACTTTCCAGTAAGTATAACAGTTAGCATCTTGGGTACCAGTCATGTATATTCAAATGCACAGAGGTCAAGTTAGTGTGGGTATTAGAAAACACAATGTTAGCAGTATGGCAGAGTAAGAACAACACATGATATTTCAATAAAAAGTCAGTTAATTCCACATGAATATGAGAATAAAGCTGTATTGTTAGGAGGAAAAAGTTCCCTCTGTTATGATTGGATAAGATTATGCATACATTTTCTTGACTTTCTTTGCAAAATGTGTTCCCTTTCCCATGACTGGTGGACATTTCACGGTTTCTGCACACTCTATCAGTTTCATTTCATTATCCATCACCAAATAATGAGTTTCATGTTGAATCACCAGGTCATCCAAAGGCCTTACAGTTCAGTCAATGACGACAGACTGCTCTCAGGATAATGGGTCTTTCATTTTAAAATGTTATTCTTGAAATAGAGGTGATTGAAGATGAGAAATGATTGTATATGTATGTATAAATGTAAATGTAAGTAGGAATAACTTGCATAATGACTTAAAGGACAATCATTGATCAAGTAAGGGGTGGGAATTAATAAGCATGTGCTTCCTCCTACTCCCTTTCGGACACATATGATTTTTTAAAATTATTATTATTAATATGAAGACTTTTTTTGTTGAATATATAAATATTATCGTGAATGTGGATAAATACTGTATTTTAACAATACGGTATTCTGTTTTTCACATTTGTTATTTTTTTTTAATCTGTTCGAAATAAAGATTGAAATTAAATGAAATTAAATAACAGTGTTTTCTTCAGTGGCATCCTGTTGTGTTTAAATATCCACCCATGACATTTGACTATGTAGATGTTGAAAAAGGAAAACAGAAGAAGGAAGAATAAAAAAGATATTGAAGTGAAGTGACTGTTATTTTGTATATATTGATTGTTGTGCTTTTATTTATGTCTTCATGTGTGCATACAGTATGTATAAATGTGTCTGTTGATTGTGTATATATATGTATCTACATATTTCTATACATATTTCTACATATATTTGTATTTTTTGTATTCGGGATTGTGGGAAACGGTATTTCGATCTTTCTGTCTTTACAGAGCTTTGACAGCTCATATGAAATACTGTTAAGTACTTTGTTGAATGGGCATCAGATCCCAGCAGGATGCAGACACACTCTCCTACCTGTGCACAGAACTTGGACTTGGCCACAGCGATGATGAGCTTCACCACGGGGGAGATCTGGGCCTGAAGAGGAGTCACCGTGTGGATCACAGCTGTGAACTGCTGCCACGGACTCTTCCCTGCACACCAGAGAGGGCACAAGTACACACATCCTTTACTCAAGTAGAAGTACAGATACTCGTGTTTAAAAATACTCTGGTAAAAGTAGAAGTACTGACTCAACTTCTTTACTCAAGTAAAAGTAAAGAGGGCTTTGAAATGTACTTCAGTAAAAAGTACCCATAACTAGCAGCTGTTTTAAAGAGTACCTGACCTCCCTTTATATTAATAGAACAATAATGTCATTGTTAGCTAATGAATGTTTCCATGCTGAACAACGGCAACATGACAACGTTTTCATTGGTCCCTCTTCTTTAGAGAAGACCAGGAAATGATGGATACACGGATCGTGTTCAAATCAATAGGCACGCAATGACTCTAAATAATAATGATCACGCCACCAAACACACATTCAAACTAAAGGAACCAGCCTGTTTGGGAAATGGAAGAAGTAGAAAGTACAGGTATTTGTGTTCAACATGTAAGAAGTAGAAAGTACAGGTATTTGTGTTCAAAATGTAAGAAGTAGAAAGTACAGGTATTTGGGTTCAACATGTAAGAAGTAGAAAGTACAGGTATTTGTGTTCAAAGTGTAAGAAGTAGAAAGTACAGGTATTTGTGTTCAAAATGTAAGAAGTAGAAAGTACAGGTATTTGTGTTCAACATGTAAGAAGTAGAAAGTACAGGTATTTGTGTTCAAAATGTAAGAAGTAGAAAGTACAGGTATTTGTGTTCAAAATGTAAGAAGTAGAAAGTACAGGTATTTGAGTTCAAAATGTAAGAAGTAGAAAGTACAGGTATTTGTGTTCAAAATGTAAGAAGTAGAAAGTACAGGTATTTGAGTTCAAAATGTAAGAAGTAGAAAGTACAGGTATTTGGGTTCAAAATGTAAGAAGTAGAAAGTACAGGTATTTGTGTTCAAAATGTAAGAAGTCAAAGTAAAAAGTCGTCAGAAAAATAAGTAGTAGAGTAAAGTACTGGTACCAGAAATATGTACTTAAGTACAGTAATTAAGTATTTGTACTCCACTACTTCCCACCTCTGCTTGTGTGTAGGCTGATTTAGTAGTCCAACGTGAAGTGATCTGCAGGTAGACTGCACTGTGCCTGGGCAGAGTAGTGTCTGGTTTTAGGGGTTAGTGTAAGAAGAACAAGGTTTGGATTAACTAGAAGTAATGGTGACCCCTGTAAGGAAATCAAAGTGTAAGTCTGTACAAGTGTAAGAGTCAAAAAATGTTTTCCATCCAACAGTTCACTCTGCTGGTCTGAAGTGAAACACGGAGACTAGCAGAGTGAGCTGGTGAAAACATCCAGCTGTCACACGCTGTCACATGCTGTCGCACGCACCCACGCACGCGCACACACACACACACACAGGTCTGCACAGCTGTAGGTCTCCATAAAGCTCCATAGTGATCTGTGCTGCTCCCATCATCAATCTTTCTGACAGAGTATATGCTCCCCATGACTGAGCATGAGTAAACACGTCCAAGCCATTTGCATTGACTGACTTATTTAGGGAATTAGGGATCTTGCAGATTTGTTCATATAAGAAGTAATTTTGTTTTCTACAACCTCACACTGAAAGAGGCTCTTGTAAGTTTGGTTTTGTTTGCATTTATTGGGGCAAACAAATGAACTAAACAGGACCAAATAAGTTTTGTAGCAGAACCACATTTTAAATCACTTCCTCGATAAATGATCCCCAGTATACGGTGCAATGGGAAATGAGGAAATTGATTCCCCCTGTGGCAAGAAACGTATCAATATTATAAAGTATTGGCTTCTACGATTGGATTTCATTTTCTGAATATATTTTCTATTCCACAAAAAAATGTATTCCGTATATCTAGAATAGAAAAGCCCATGAAGGCATGTTACGTGACGTACATGCAAATACATAGTTCATAATATAATTAGATTAAGGTGTTTTGATTTTGTATAAAGAGTTCTGTTCATGCCCGGTGTAACAATAATGACATTAGCACACACTGATTTAATTGAGTAAAGATCACACAGCCCTCGCTGCATGCTGAGTGAGTGCTGATGCTGATTATTATTCAGATTGGAAAACAAATCATGTATATTTAGTTTATTACAGATATCCCAACAGTTTAATTAACTGTGTTGCAGGTTTTAAAGTACAGGTTTATTATGAGATAACTCTTTGCATCATACAGAATGCATGGAGATAATACAGAGGATAGGGATTTGTACAATTCCTGCAACAGTGGGGGACTTATGGGACATCTGGATGCCATTTAAAAAAAACAAGTATTTAGGTTTCCTAATCATATTAAGTCTTAGAAATATCTGAAACTAGGACAAACTATTCAAAGATGATGACATGACACACAACACATCGCCTTATACAGGTCAGGTGATATGGCAGATTTATTAGCAAACAGTTGCCGATATTTACACATCCAGAGCAACATTGGCCTTTTACTTGGAGTTGTGGTTGTTCCATTTTAATTTGAAAGTCCTTTATTAAAGGTAGGGTAGGTAAGAATGGAGAAACCAGCTCGAGTGCGGAATTTGAAAGTACGCAGCCGAAAAAAATCTGCCACTTCCTTCAGACTTCCTTACAGAGCCCCTCCTCCAACACACACGAACGCACACATGACCAATGAGGGCACGAGATAAGTTTGTGCACGAGATGGAAGGCTGACAGGCAGGTAGGACATCCAGTTATTTTAGCCGGCTCAGATGATTGGTCGTGCTTTTTACAGCGCCACGGCTTCCACAGATGACATTTTTTAATGTATTTATTGTCAAAGCATTTAATGTATTCATTGCTATCAGGATGTTAAGAGCATTCCATGGAATATAACAACAAGTGTTTCTGAATTGAATTACCTACCCCACCTTTAATGTTTATTTTAACTCTGCTTTGGTCTCCTCCAACACCTGAGAGAAATATTAGGCAGTTTATATTTTTTGCTTAAAAAAATCGTACTTCTTGAAACGAAGACACCTTATTATTTATTTCATGAAATACCAATAAGTGAATGCTTATAAAGTAAGATAACATAACTGACAATTTCCCATTTTAAAAATAAGCTGAAGTTAACACACATCTGAGGGGAAGAAGGGCTATGATGTAGGTCACACAATAGATTAAATTGCTGTGATATAACTAATTATACACAAGAGAAACAAAACCCAAACAAATGACCCTCAGAATATACAGTAACCTCGGGTAGACACACACACATAGACCCACGTAACACTGACTGCAGGCACATGGCATGCCAAGTGTTTGGTGGTAACGGGAATAAGGGAATACACACATCCTCATGGTTAAGTGGAGCCAGAGTGCTCTTTAGTGTTGCTCTATCCATCTCTCTGACACCGGCCCCCAGACCAGCCATCTCAGGTGGGCTTAGTGGTATTTATGGAAGCACCAGGTCTGCCCTTGAGGGGTCAAATAAAAAGGCTCAGTCCTTCTGTTTCATCTGACAGTTTTAACTTTTTATTATATGACATATATACATAGAGCAATAATTGCACTAAACTCCAGCTTGCACTGACACAATATATATATATATGTTTTTTAATACACATTCAACATATTTATTTTACCTAAACCGATATATTCCTGTCTGCATCTTGAAGTATGAATGCTTGTATGTTGTCTTCTCCTGAATGTTGCACGTCTCTTGTTTGTCGTTTTGTATTTTTGATGGCACCTTCAAAAAAGGAGTAGTTGTGCCTTTTTAACTTTTTATTATATTACATATGTTTATTTTATCACAGGCACATTGTTCCACTCATTCGAACAAGGTATTTGGTATGAAACACAATAAAGGAGACACTACTTGATGCTAACACTCGTACTTACTGAGGGTCTGAGTACGAAAGTGCATGACTGGGAAGTGTAGCACTCTGCATTTTAAAGTAGTAGGATTCTGAACATACTGTAGTTGCTTCAGCAGCATGGATTCTGAGTGGTTCACAGCTTGTGATAAAGGTCACATTTGGGTCATAAGTCCACACGGAGGTCATATAAGAGTAGTAAGACTCACATGAATCAAGGTGTGAATGTATCTTAAACTGCGTGCAAAGAGAAATATGGATTGGGGCATTGTAAGTGCTACATTTTCTTCAGTGAAAAGCTAGGGCCTGGTGAGGAGACAGCTTCCTGTATTTTTGTAACTGTCTGCAGAATAGATTCAGTATCTTATTGCACTTCACTCTAACACTTTCAAACCTTAAAACAAGGAGCCCATAACGTACTTAAGAGATATGCTGTGTTATCAAAAGCAATTAAGGTCACATGATGTGGCTCATGAGTCCACCAGGCTGTCATATAACATTCATAAGATGCACAGGATTGGAGGTGTGAATGTAACTGCCTGTTGACTGACATGAATTGTGGCATTGTAAAAGGCTGTTAATGATACAGAAATATGTCAAATCTAAGCTCTAGTAAGTACACACTTTTCTGTCTTTTTGTCAAATTCTTTAGTCAAGTGTCCCCATCTTATTTCTCTTTACTCTATTACATCTGGTGGTGTTTCTATAGAGGTATTGTAGAGGACACTACAGGCGCGTTTCCACTACAGCGCGGAGCACGGTTTAAGAGGGCTGTGACGTCAGCGGCCCGTCTTTGGTTGCGTTTCCACTTGGCCTAGTACCGGCCGGCGGGTCCTAATTCACAGTTTTTCTGGCCTCATAAAATCGTGGGTCTAGGGCCAGAGACAACGAGGCTGAGTCGGGCTGAGTATGCTAAACTAGAGAGAGCATCGCTGGCAAGGGCTACAACTACAACAAGATGGACATATTTGACCGTGATTTAATTGTAATACACGTTTCAAAATGATGCCGAAGTAACAACATACTGATACCGGTTAGTAAAAACCATGAATTAATGCTTTGTCAAGTCTGCAGACAGACGGCAGGCGAAAAACCTTTTAAAATGCGTGTTTTCTAAATGGAGATTGGCTAAGCTAACGCAGTATATGCTCCGACCGTCCACACTCACAACAACGGCCTATACAGACATAAATAAAGCAGCGACTGTATTCACCATGACACAGGCAGTCTGTGGTTTGTACTTGTTTAACTTTTGTCTAGTTTCTGAACATATATAAGGAGCTGTGAGCTCTGAGTGCTAACAGCTAACGGCTGTGTTGTTTTTCTGGGGTTCTCATTGAAGATGACGTCACGGCTCCGCCTACACTGCGTTACTATAGATACTACCCCAGTTCCTAAACTGTAATGGAAATGCGCCATAAAGTGAGCCAGTCCTAACGAGGCCTAGCCATACCGAGCGGGGCTGAGCGAGGCCGTGTAGTGGAAACGCGCCATAAGCTGCTGAACCGTGAAACAAGTAGCACATGGTCTCTATAAATTATTAAGGAGATATTGTATGTGAGAGCAAAAGCCAAGAATCCGATGATCCAAACTAAATGCAACGTGAAGTCTTCCTGAGACATCTTTCCTGTCATTCTGCTCGGAAAATATGATTTATTGTGAATTTAAACCACCAAATGTCACTGGACAGGTAACCTCAATATGTCTGTGGCACCAATGACCTCTAAGAAAAACCTAAAGCATGTCGACATGTCAGAGTAGAGGCACAACATATCAATATGAACCTGAAGATGAGTATAATACGGCCCCTTTAAGACATTATCTAAAAGAGAATCGACCAGTATATCTAAAATAAGCATTTCTTTCTGACTTGTGTTGATCATTGTAGTCCCATTCTTTGACCTCTCCTCTTGTAAAGTCGTGACGGGCCTTGTACAGCTTCAGCATACTGTCACAACCTTTTTTTGTCTGTTTTATACAACCTAAAGTAGCTCCACATCACAGCTCTCCACAAACTAAAGTGAAGATGTAACTAGAGCCGTCAAATCGTGATATTCTTACAGCTCCTGAGGTCACTACCTGTGAGCAGTAAGTCAAACTTTTCAAACTACCAGGCAGAAGTTGCGACTGCTTCGCCATCAAAAGTTATGGGAAGGTAGCAGAGTGAGACTGCATACAAACGGCATTGACAGCAAGTTATTCCCCGAGAAGCAGCACAGGAGATGGCAGCCGCTAAAATAGAGATTTACTGCAGAGGCATAAACCCAACTGCCCAATCTTTCCCTCTATCCCCCGATCCCTCCCTTCTTTCTTCCTTCTAACCCTTGTGTCCACAATTCCTCCGAGAAAGACAAACATCGATCTGAGTTACAGCCTCAGCCTCGCCAGTCTGCATATCTACACACACCCACGTATACACACACGCACGCACGCACACACACGCACACGCACGCACGCACACACGCACGCACGCACACACCCACGTATACACACACACACCCACGTATACACACACACACGCACGCACGCACGCACGCAAGCTCGCACGCACGCACACACACACACACACCAGGCAACTTTCTGTGCACTCTCTGCCTGCAGCTTGAAGTTTCTGCTTCGACAACACTCTTATATTTACATACATTCTTGATCATTTGGCTTATTTCTATCTCAGTTATGCAATCTTTATAACAAGGTCAGCCTTTACATCTGCTGCTTTTATGTTTGTTGACTTGTAAACAACCAGCAAACAGCAGCCTTGTCTCTGATATGTTTCTCTTTTGTCTCGAGATAAGGTTTGTTCGAGCAGCCAACAGCTTCCAGGCAGAATCAACAGTTCACTTGGAATACATTAAAAAGAAAACTGGAAGAATTTCAACTAAATGAACAGAAAGATCCAAGGAGGAACGCATCAGAAACTGACAGGTGATCGCTGGCAGGAGCAGCGTAGGAACATCGCCATTTTTCAAATTTGGTTTTGGCTCAAAGTCTCACACTGTGCAGGCATAGTGGCATCTTAAAAGGAAATAAAATGGTGCCAAACGTTTGGTGAGTTAAGCTTCATTCTTCCTTTCTGCCAATTTTGTATTAGTTTGGAAAATGGGCATCATAAAATATGCTAAATTAGCTTCTAGCCTTTCTCTTTGCAATGTACAAAGCACTAATTTTAGAATATTTTTTAATTATGTTTTCCAAGCAGATACAGGTTTTTTTTCTCTTTCCGGTAGATTTTGGAACATTTCAGAAAGAAACACGTTTATGATACACAACTCGTTTTGTACAGCAAGATAATCTCCACACATGAGCACCACTTTGTGATTTTTGAAGCAAAAAGCTAACGTTAGGCTATAAGCAAGCTAACTGCATCACGGTCACATGACTTCAAGTCACAGCCGCTATGCTAAAGGCGGCTACTGTAAACATTGGTCGGCGTGATGAAGTTTAGTAGTTTATTTAGTCACTTGTTAGCAAGCAATGTTTTTACGACACATAAAAGCTTCTGACTTTTACCAGTGGGGTGTTTACTGACTGATGTTATGAAGATTTTACTTGGAAATCTCATAAGCCGGTTTTGACGAAGGAACTGAAGTGCTAAAATGCTTACTCATTTCAGGGTTTAAAGGACTCATTCCTGCACCACTCTATAAGGTCGTGTTCGGACAAAAGGTGTAGGTGAAAGTACCAAAGACAAATTAAACCAAACTCTAAAGGTCACCTATTGTGCAAAATCCACTTGTTCATGTCTCTTCTACATCAACATGTGTCCCCTCTTCTTCATGTCTCTTCTACATCAACATGTGTCCCCTCTTCTTCATGTCTCTTCTACATCAACATGTGTCCCCTCTTCTTCATGTCTCTTCTACATCAACATGTGTCCCCTCTTCTTCACGTCTCTTCTACATCAACATGTGTCCCCTCTTCTTCATGTCTCTTCTACATCAACATGTGTCCCCTCTTCTTCATGTCTCTTCTACATTAACATGTGTCCCCTCTGTGTAAAGAGACTCTGAAAGTTTCAGGATAAAAGATTCTCTCTCTTTTTGTCCTGATCCATTTATATAAAAACCTGTCTGAAAATGAGCTGATCAGATTTTGGCCACTTTATGATGTAACGATGTGTTGGCTTGTGTAACCATTAGCCAATCAGCAACCAAGGTAACCCCCCCCCCCCCCCCTTATCACCTGAATCTCCTCCTAGACCACCATTGTGTTCTTTGTAACCAAATATCTCTCAGAGGGGCGTGGGGAGGGGCTCCTTACTTTCATCTAAAGTAACAGACAGAGAATCAGCACTTTGGAAACAGGGCTGAAACAGAGGGGATTATGGGATGCTGCAATGATCTGTTTGGTGTTTGGAGCCAAACACTTCAGAGACATGTTTTGTATATATCTGAGACCTATAATATATTGATGAGAAACAGTATAATAGGGGACCTTTAATGTGACCAGATGAACACTTACCCAGTATGGCATAGTAAAAAGGGAACTGGGCGGGGTCAGATGAGTACTGGGGGAGAGCATGGAGACCACCAGGAAGGGAATTCCACAACAACCTGTTTCTGGACACATGGGAGTCCACACGGTCCTGGATGATCTGGAGGGAAGAGACGGAGAAAGTACAGAAACAAGAGGAAGAGGAGAAGAAAGGAAGCATGGGAGGGAAAGAAAGAAGAACACAAATCAAACAGGTTAGAAAAACAGAATGAAAAACACAAAAGAAGATAATAGGAAACAGAAAGAAGTGAGAAAGAAGGAAGAGGAATCATGAGGAGTGAAGAGAGGTGAAGATATGAAGTGTGAAGAGGACAAAAAAAGACAAAGATGTGATAGTTCATTAATCTTCCTCTGCGTAGTCGTCTCCTATAAAGGCAGGGCTTGACAGAGTGTGCAAGGAAACCATGTGTCTCAAAATTAGGAACATTTCAATGTTTTTAATTGAAAGATATTCCTTTATCGTTCTGGAAAAATCTCCTGCTTCCTAAGCTAGTTAACATTTTATGAACCATTGTGTGATTTAAAAGTGTTTGACACACATCTGGAGATTTTCTCTTTTTTTTTAACTGGACAGCAAATTAAAATTTAAAGTAATTTAGGAATAAACAAAGCTGAAGAATGAATAACATCACTCTATGTCACTCTTTTGACATAGAGTGTCATGAGTGTTTTTTCTCATGATGTTTGATCTAGCAACCATAAATTGTCCAATACGAGCACAAGAAACTTCATATTGCAAATTCACGTGAACACATGCTTCCTCAATATGGCCTCTTTACACTTTCCCCCTCTGACTATAGACATGTGAGAACATTTGGAAATAAAAGCAAACAGCAGTTTAGCTGCAGCCGCTCGGGGAACAGACCTCAGACACTTGCTTCACTTGGGGCAACAACTTGCTCCCAACACGAGGAGTCCATTAGTTATTTAGCTAATATCTTCCATCTAACGTGTTACCAAAGGTCAGGGTCCTCAGGGTGAGTGTTTTAAATCTTCAGGGGGTTTTGAGGAAGACCACTGGTCTCTAAACACAATAAAACGTCTGGTTCCAGTGAAGTTCAGCTACAAAAATGTCACTTTTTTAACTTAATTATACTGTAGTTTAATTATTAGTTGATATCGTTGTTTAAGCTTTGACAAATTATAGTATGATATTATTCTTCTAGGACTGCTCACAGCAGTGGAGGTCTATCAAAGTATTACAATATGTGCCCTTTTACCTGTTTTTAGTCAATTCCATATAATCATAGGAGATATAATGATATATGGAACCTTAGGAAGTTAATTACCTTGTGACCTTCAAAAGAAAATTACCTGCCAACTCCTGTATACAAAATACTTCTTTATTTGTTACGCTCTTATAAAGACCAGAAGGCCAAATCATTAGCCCGTGAACCACATACCTGAAAGAAAGAAGCTATTGATATGTTGATGTATTTTAGGTATTAAATGGTTAAAATTGACCAATTTGGAAATGTGTAAAGCATTCAAAGATAACATAATGCTCATTTATGTTTAAATTTGAATGGTTATTGAGTAATTGATCCATTATAGCTACAGATACTACTTCAACTTGAACACTTTGAATAAATATGATAGTAACATTTACTATTTTACATTTACATATACAGTAGGATACTCGCCATTCTCTTTTGTTGTCAACTGATCTGTGGAAAATTGGCACACAAGCCAGCTTTTAGCACACACTCACACACACTCACACACTCACACACACACTCACACACACCTCGTGACACCGAATGCCAGCCTCTCAGTATGTGGGCCACTACAGTTATCAATAACGCCTCATTTCACCCATTTAGCCCGGTGGCGTGCTGGCTCTGAGTTTTTAGCACATCTGGACAGCGGTGCGCGGCTGTCAGTGGACTTCTGTCTAATTTCATACCCTGCTACCTCTGGGCATCAGTGGTATCACTGAGGTGTTGTTTGTGCAGGGATTTTCGGGAGAGAATATGCTGCAATTTGCCTTAATTGTATTATTAAAATGCTTTTTCTCTTGCGGGTTTACTACAAGGTCAGTTCCTTTTTTAATTTCCTGCTTTTTTACACAAACTCTCTCCAGTACAGGTTAGCTCTGAGTGTTAGCGATGCTTGCTAATGTAAACAAAGAACATATTACGTCCAAAACAGTCGGGCATTGTTTCTGATAGCGACATTTCTGATAGTGCCGTGGGTCTGCATTTCCGATATTACGTCATATTGGACGCACATCTGGATCAGCTCCGTTGTAGCCCCGTGTTTAGAGTTTTTTATGTATAAAAGACATGATAGGTCTCCTTTAAGTCAAGATACATTTTAATATCACACATGTAGAAACCAAAAGCTTCTTGCAAACACAATAGACATACCAACAAATATGGGATGAACACAATTGAATAACATATTATGCATGGTAAGCTAAATCTGTACTTTACTGTACGCAATAAATTCAGCTTTTGTTCAACAGTGTGGTGAAAAAATAAACCGTATACATGTTCATTTTTTTATTTCTCTGCATTTAGTTGCCTATATTTGGTATATCTGTATCCCTTAGCATTTATCGTACATTGATTGTCCTAAAAGATTCCAAATTTGGAGTAGTAAAATACACACAGTCTGTCAGTCCGGGCTTTTACTGTTTTACCCTTAAGACCAGTATGTAAGAACACTTTTGTTTATTGACCTTATGACCTGTGCTACTGTATTCAAGCATTCAACATTATCCTGCAATACCACCAGATGGACCGAGTTGCCAATGTTAAAGGTCCCATGTCATGCTTTTCTGGTTATTACCCGTCCCCTTGTGTGTTATGAAGGTTTTTATGCATGTAAACGGTCTGCAGAGTCACAAACCCTCAAAGTACACCCTGTAGCGAGTAAAACTCTAACACAGAAAAGACCTGTCTATACTGCCCCAGAACGCCTCGTTGGAGATTTCTCTTTTTCCATTGTTTTCTTCTTGGGTATAGTGACGTATTTCGTGTATAGTGACGTTACGTCTGCGGAGCCGTTACGTTTGGACCAATCCGCGGACTTCCTCACACACACACACACACACACACACACACTCGGCGGGACGTTGCGAGGCTCGCTGCTGCGAGGAGCGGGACACTGTGAGCTGGCTCACTGGTGTGGGGTCGGCGAGACAGCGAGACACCGCGGAACTCAGCCTGGGCACACACACAAACTCCCAGCCAGGCTGCGGGTGTGTGTGTGTGTTTCGGGCTGTGTCTCGCTGTCTCGCAGACGGCCACTGGGCTCACAGGGAGGGGGGGGGGGGGGGGGGGGGCAGGAGCTCCAACAAGCCGTTTAGGACAGAGAGTGAATACACATACTATACAGAGATGCTGTATGAGAAACCAATGTGAGTTTGGAAAATTGCACAATATACATTTATTTTAGTAGACCTCAACAATGGAGTTATGATCAGTAGAAATGGCCTGAAGACCTGGGACCTTTAAGTAAAAGTTAAATGGACTCACTTTAAATTGTGAAGCATAATTATGGAGCACAGACTTTGAGATGAGCAATTTAAAGGTCAAATAAATGTTTCTAAAAATATGACGCACCACCACAAATACATATAATTCATTTAAAAAAAGCTTTACCTTTGCAATTAAGGCAAATTAAAGAAACTGTGCTTTCCATCTCTAAGTGAAGTTCATCTAATGTGGTGGAAACAACCTTGAATCATGCACTTTTCCACTATTTTCACTATTTCAGGCAGAATACATTGATTTAAACTGGACTGTTTGCTAATGAGCGATCTCCCTGTTGGTAATTATATCCATGATGATGTCTAATCCCATCTGAACGAGCCTGAAGTTGGGTAGCGCTGTCACTTGATGATGCAAATGATGATAACAAGTGAGGATGATTGCAACAATAGTGTGCTGCAAGAGGGATCATAGCTGTTGTTCTGATGTTTATGTGATGATGATGGTGGTTGTGATGATTATGATGATGGTGATTAAGATCATTATGCTGTGTGTCTGAATTCAGAGAGCAAACAGCCCCCGAGGAATCAATCAAAGATGTGAGGAAGTGAACTAACAGAGAATAAAATTAGAGCAGGAAGGTTTTTACAATCCAATGAGACAAGTTCATGTTCTACATTTGAACTAGCGAGGTTATTTAATGAGGCTGCCTCTAGATTTATTTTGTCTTGAAAGCAGGCACAGTCATACTTTAACGATGCATCTATTGACCTTGTTAGCAGATTAATCAAGCTCTGATAAACCCACTGTGTGTTAACTGTTTATCACCAAATGGCAGAAAGTTAATGTTTGTGACTAGTTGGTCAATGAAAATAGCATTTAGCATCTGATGGGAGATGGTAGGGAACAAAACAGAGGAAAAATGGGAGCGAATGGGACACAAATGAATTATTATGTTGCTTTTTGTCGACTGAATATTCATTTGTCTATTATGTGTCAAAAACATTGTTCTATGCCAACAGGTGGGTGAATAAAAATCACCATTTAGGATTTGAGAGTGTCTAGAAATGTATGTTAAATTGGATCTCCTAAGTCAGAGGAGCTGATCGAAGTAAGAAATCTAAGTGTGTATTGATCTCATGTCTAAGGTTATGTAGTCAAATCAAGTCACAGACTATGATTACTATGTGCTGAGTGGAACATTTCAGTATTGTAAAAAGCTACAAAAAGACTGGCCAGAAAATAACACAGAAAAACTACTTTCCAGGTGCCCTTCAGCTAAGTGTTCTGAGCCACTTCTAGGTTAAAACATATGAATATCAAGCAGAACATTGCTGAAAAAGAGAGGGCACATTCAGCTAACCTTTTTTTTTTTGTAAAGTATAACTGACAACTGTAGAAAGAGTTTTAAAGTTCATCTTCGTGAGGTGACGAATAGCCAGTGGCGATGTACAGTACAGAAAAACGATGCAGCAGTTTAAATCAAAATCTCTGTACAACACTAAATCCAAAACTACCATTATAGTACAGCGGATAAGCCAACACACTCTCACTCCCGAAGCGTCCAGGAGCGACGCTTGGTCAGGATCCCATTCCTGAATCTATTAAAGCAGTACCTACACTTTTAGTACAGCGGATAAGCACAACAATTGTGCATTTTATG